ACGGTTTGCCTGATGTTTCAGTGAGTTGTTTGGCACCTGTCTCAACCCCAGCCCTTTCCTGGTCTCTTCCAGAACTACATTGCCAGGTTTGGTCACGGCAGTGCCAAGCTGGCCCGACAAGCCCAGAGCAAGGAGAAGACACTCCAGAAAATGATGGCGTCAGGACTGACAGAGAGGGTCGTGAGCGACAAGGTGGGGTCTGGTGGGATGGGGTGAGGGGGCCTGAGGTGGCGAGGGAGGAACCAGCCTGAGAACTAACAATGTCTCCTCTTCCTAGACGCTGTCATTTTATTTCCCACCATGTGGCAAGATCCCTCCTCCTGTCATTATGGTGCAGAATGTCAGCTTCAAGTACACACAGGATGGGGTGAGTGCTTGTGCGCTTGGGAGATGGGGTGCATCATATAAGGTGAGCATCAGCTGGCGGGGAGAGTCTCCTGTTTGAGGAACGCATCTCCCCACACGGCAGTTGGGGTTCCCTCCCAGGGACCCGCAGGGGCCCCTTGTCAATTACTTGGCAGGAGAAGGGCTCCCCGCGTTGGCGCGTGGACGCAGTGGGCGGGCGTCTGCCGTGAGAGCCGCCATCTTCCTCTCACGCCCATCTCTCCAGCGGTGCCCAGGGACCCACCGGGTGACTGGTGCCCCAGCCATCGCTCGCTCTCCCCCCAGCCTTGCATCTACAACAATCTCGAATTTGGTATCGATCTCGACACACGAGTGGCTCTTGTGGGACCCAACGGAGCTGGGAAGTCAACTCTCCTGAAGCTGCTAACTGGAGAGGTAGGGCCAGGTTGGCGGGGCACCTCAGAGCAGGGAAAGGATGGTCCGTGGGGGCCCCGAGCACCTGAAGTGATCCAGTTTCTGGGGTGGGGGTGTTGTCACTGGGCAGCATTGGGGTGACCTGAGGTGGCTAAGAAAGGAACTAACCGTGTCTCCTGAGTGGGTGGGGCTGTTTTCTCGAGGGAAGAAGGGGAGTCAGAGAGACAGACAGACAGACAGACACGCTGTACTGTGTGCTTCAGCGTGTTCAGTCACAGCATTTAGAATACAGGAGCACCTGCCCTCCCCCCCACTGTATTTTAGACAATGTGTTGTTCCTGCCTCCACCTGGTTGCCCCTGTGGTGCATCTTGTAGTAGACACTTAGTAGCTACCGAGTAGACTGCGTGGGCTTTCTCTGCCTCCCGGCCGTCTGCCATCTGGGGCAGTATTCCTGAGTAGACTGGCCAGAGTGGCAGTCCGAGAGGTAGAGGTGTAGTCTGTTGGAAGCTGTGGATCTGGCTCCCCGTGAACACGTTTCCCCGCGCTGCCTGTGTCTGCCGCTGACCGGGCTTCCTCTGTGTCTGCTTCCCCCTCTGCTTCCACTCTTCGCTTCCAGCTGCTCCCCACAGACGGGATGATCCGAAAGCACTCGCACGTCAAGATAGGACGTTACCATCAGGTGCAGGCCTGGGGCTGGTGCCGGGGCTGGGAAGGGCCTCTCCTTCTTGCTCCTCCTGGGAATCTGCACGGTGCCTGGGGTAGAGGTGGACAGTCATTGGCAGGGGGACCCAGCGGGCCTCGTGAAGCAGGACCCCAGTCAACACCCTGTTTATCCTGTAGCACCTACAAGAGCAACTGGACCTGGACCTCTCGCCCCTGGAGTACATGATGAAGTGCTACCCAGAGATCAAGGAGAAGGAGGAGATGAGGAAGATCATCGGCCGATACGGCCTCACTGGAAAACAGCAGGTCAGTGTGGAGGCTGTGGGTCAGGGGACACGGTCCTGGCCACCCAGGTTCGGAAGCTATCACCGAAGTCCCCTCCCTTTGATGCCAGCTCCTGAGAAGCCTGCTCCCTGCCTTCGCCCTGGCTGATTACGTGGCAGCGCACCTCAGTCTCTTGAGGGCAGGGCAGGGAGAGCAGGCCCACGTGGGCGTGCCCTTGCCCCCGCCAGCAGGTGAGCCGTAGTGCCTGAGAGTGAGGGAACTTGAGACCTAGAAAACAAGCTCCTAGATTCAGATCTGGACCAGGGTCCCCTGGATGGATGCAGGTCGTTACGACCTTTGTGCTGAGAGAGAGAGAAAGAGAGAGAGAGAGCGTGAGCGCGCAGCGCGAGAGAGTGTGTGTGCGCACATGTGCGCTGTCACGTGATAGTGACAAGGGCTGCGGGCTTCCGGGTGTGCCCCTTCCAGGCCTGGGGAGACTGTTGGCTGCTCTCCCATCTTGCTGTGATCTCGGGTCTTTCTGAGCCCCGCTGTTTGTAAGATCGGGGTAAGGCTAATGGAGGCTCCAGGGGAAAAGGGAGAGGTGAGTCGTGGTGAAGGTGACAGCACGTTACAAAATGTCCCGGTTCCACTCAGGTGAGCCCAATCCGGAACCTGTCTGATGGCCAGAAATGCCGAGTGTGCCTGGCCTGGTTGGCCTGGCAGAACCCTCACATGCTCTTCCTGGACGAACCCACCAATCACTTGGACATCGAGACCATCGACGCCCTGGCTGATGCCATCAATGAGTTTGAGGGTGGCATGATGCTGGTCAGCCATGACTTCCGGCTCATTCAGCAGGTGAGGCTCTGACTGGGTGGAGGCAGAGCAGCGGGCTCGCAGCAGGTGGGCTGGGGTCATGGCACGTGGGATTTAGAGAAGGGGCTGAGGGTGCAGATGGGGACAAAGTGCTCTTCACTGCTTCAGTGGTTATTTGGGGATGTGCCCTATTTAGTGCTGTGGCTGAAGTTGGTGGGGAGCTGGGTAGACAACAGGGCGCTTCAGCCCAAGATGGCTTTATTCTGGGGAGCATTTGGGTTAGACAGAGGGCTAAGCAGTCTCTGGTGGAAAAGTGCTCTTGTCCCTCTGAAGCCTTGCAGAGGTGGCCGAGGGTGCAACCTCTGGACACACCCAGGCCTTCTGGAGAGCCGGGAGTCAGGTTGACTCTGCAGCCTCGGAAGGCTCCCTGCCTGCCCGTTACAGTCCCCGTGTAGGGAAGTCTGAGCTGGATATGTTGGGGAGTCCCCTGAGAGCAGCCTTCTGGCTGGGGTGCTGGTCAGCATGGTCACGTCAACATTTGCTTTCTAGGTGGCGCAGGAAATCTGGGTCTGTGAGAAGCAGACAATCACCAAGTGGCCTGGAGACATCCTGGCCTACAAGGAGCACCTCAAGTCCAAGCTGGTGGGCGAGGAGCCTCAGCTCGCCAGGAGGACCCACAACGTGTGAGCCCCTGGCCGGGCCGGCCCCAGGGCCACACTCCTGCATTGCTGCACTACCGCTCCCCAGCCCCTCCCGCCCCCACCTGCCTTAGCTGCACTCTGACCTCTCTCCAGCTGGACAGCACCTGTCCGTCTCCTTCCTTCCAGTTACTCTGGTCCGCGTCTGGACGCGGCCGGCTGTCACTGCCGGCCCTTGCTGGTTGCCTGACCCTGTTGTACTGTGGCCAGAGGCACCCGAGGGTTTGCTCGCCGAGCCCTGGGTTTGACCTGCAAAGGCGCATAGGATCCTCATTTTTCTGGGTGTTGGTGATGTTGGAGGAGCACCCCCAGCCCGCTGCCCCCACTCCTCTGCTTCTGGTTTGGAGCTCCGGACCAGGGCCTGAGTCCTGGTCGATTTTTAAATAATTATTTAACAGTGTAACTTTTAGACCTGCGCGACGTCTACACAGCGCCCAATAAAGAGAGAAGCCATGGTCCCCACTTCTTCTCCAGCCTCTCCCCTCCCAGTAATGCCGCCTCACTCCCCTTGGCCAGAGCTGGGGCGGGGGTGGAGGGTGGACAAGCACCTCCTCGCCCTTCTGTGAGATCACGCCTTTCTCACACGTGTGGCTCCCAAACCCCGAGGCGCATCGGTCACCCCGAGGACTGGGTCTGTCATGGGTTGCTGGGTCTTGCCTCAGTGTCTGGCCCAGTGGGTCTGGGTGAGAGCAAGAGTGGACACGTCTTCCAGGCTCCCGGTGGAGCTCTGCCTCTGGGCTGGCCTGCACTTCAGCGGCCCCCAGAGCACATGTGGGGGGCCCAAGGGGCTCCTGCCACCTGCAGCACCACACCGTGGGGGGCTTGTTTAGAACGCAGGTGCCCAGGCTCCAGACTGGCTCCGGGTGGAGGGACGGGAGAGGCGGGAGTGGTCAGGAGCTGCAGGCCGCGGTCCTGGTGGGGTGCAGGGAGTCAGTATTTCACCTGTTCACAGTGTGGTTTTCATTAGCACTGAGTCTAAGCCATCCCCCAGCCCAGAGGGTGGCTTCAGGTGCGTCTAGATGCAGCACCCAGGGGCCGCCCTCCCCGTGGGACCTGCTCCACCTGTGCAGCGTCGGCAGCCCTCCTGGGGGGATAGCCCCAGGCCCCCGAGCCGCCAAGGAACGGCAAATCCTGCAGGGGACAGAAGCAGAAGCCAAATCGTGACTGAGGATTAGGAGTCGGGGCAGTTTCTCGGGAGTGGTTGTGCGGAGAGGCGGGCTGGTGCTCTCCGGTGACTGGCGTGCGGGACGCCCGGGCGGAGGGCACGGGCACGGCACACGGAGCAGGGACCTGAGACCCCGAGCGCAGCCCGTTGCCCTCATCTTGGACCCCTGCTGCTCTGTGCCTGAGGTGGGGCCGGAGCAAATGGTCTCGGCCAGTCTGCCGAGTGGCTGTACAGAGACCGGGTCCACAGGGCAGGGGGCGGGGCGGGCAGTACAGCAGAGGGCAGGCCAGGTGTGCCCCGGTGTGCCGGGGTCTGCAGCAGGGTGGGCCTCAGGTACTGAGAGATGGAGGGCTTAGAACCGGCAGGGGGGGGAGCGGGCCAGTCAGCTTGTCCAAACACTAATCTCAACGGCGTTCAGAATGCTTTAAGGAGCCCCAAAAATACATGTGTTTCTCCTCGTCTCGCAAATGATCAGTGTTGGAGAGTTAAAATGAACCTCCGGGTCCTCTGAGCCCGCGCCACGCCAGGTGGGGCCGATGCTGGGAACTGAGTGGGAGGAGGCTGGGGGGTCCGCTGCTCCGCCTGTTTGCGCGGCCGCCAGGTGAGGCTGGTTCGGCCACCGCCCTCCGCCCGATGCGGCTGCCCGGCTGCCCGGCGCTCGGAGCCCGAGGCACGCCCTGCGCGTGGGAGCAGCCGCGAGAGCCGGGTCTCCTGTGACCACCTCCTTCTGCTCCCCGGCCCTTGGCAGCCAGCGCCACGGCCCCGGAGAGGATCCACTGCCCGGAGAGCATCCGGGACCAGGGCTCCGCGTGGCTGCCCCACCGGCCCGCACAGCTCGGCGCCACCTCAGTCCAGGCCCGCCGTCCTCGCGCGCGCTGCTTCCACACACCTCTCCTCCCTCCCCCGCCCACCCCCCAACCGCTTCCCCCCTTTCTCCCCATTTTAATGTCACCAAGACCAGCTTTGACCCCGCTCATCCCACGAAGGCGCCCCTGGCTCCTGCTGCCCTCCCTGAATCTCTCGTCCTGCGCTGCCCTCAGCCCCCACGTCGGCCCTCTGGCTCGCCCGAGGACGGCATGTGAAGCCGCCGGCCCCGCTGCGGTGTAGGGCCGCTGCCTGGGGCTGCCCCGTGTCCCTTCTGACCCCCTATCACCGAGCCGGGTGAGCCCAGGGGGTGCCCAGCGGCCGCGGGGCGTGCTGGCTGGTGTGTGCGCGCTTGCCAGGGTGTCAGCCCGCGGGCCGGGGGGAGGGCTGACTGGAGCATGTTCTGCAAGGGGTCGGCCGAGCCCCGCCCCTCGCCGCCTCACCCGGGTGCTCACCCCCAGCCCCACCTGGCGGGCAGCTGACTTCATAAAAGTGGCCCCCAGGAGCCGCGGCAGCTGTGGAGAAGCGGAGGATGAGCGCGGCGCGTGGACCGGCGCATCCCGGGGGCCGGCGGGGCCACAGGGCCGGGGACAGGAAGCCCAAGCAGCGCAGCCGGCACAAGGAGACGTACTGCATGTGCATCTACAAGGTGCTCAAGCAGGTGAGCGCGAGCGCCCCGTGGGCGTGTGGACGGCTTGGCCAGGGAGCCAGAAAGGGCAGGTGCTGGCTTCGTCCAGGCCCTGAGGAGTGACCTCAGGTATGCCCTGGCACCCTTGGGGGGTCACACTAGATCTCAGAGGATCTCGTGTGTGCAGAAGACGTTTCAGGCCTGCCCCACCACCACCCAGAAGTTGGCAGGGACAGAGGACATGGAGTGAGGCGACCCATCCAAGGACAGAGGGACCAAGAAAGGACTGAACTTGGCGGAAGGGGATAGGGCGCTGAAGACACGGCACAAACGGGCAGGGCCAGCACCATAGACAGCAGAGCACAGACAGGAGAGCTGTGTGGAAGGGAATCCCTGGGAAGCTCTCCTGGATGCACACATTCGCCTGGGAGGGGCTCAGGGGTTGGCCTACCTTCTGGAAGAGAAACCCCCAGAACTCTAAAGCCTCCTCGGTTACTGAGTCACATGACCCGGCGGCAGCAGAGGGTGGGGCCCCCCAGGCCCTTCCTGTTGAGGGCCTCGTGGAGCACCTGTGAGAAGCTCCTGCTCCTGGGACTCAGGATGCTGACAAATGTTTGGAGGCCCCAGAGTCCGGATGACCTGAGGCAACCTGGCCTCTAAGCCTCTGCCCTGCGCAGCCCAGCGGGGAGGAGCAGGCTGGTAGCTGCCCCCCTGCCCTGGGCCCCCTACCTGCCCAAGTGCCCTGCCCACCTGAGCTTAGGTCCCCGGGGTGGTGCCTACCTCCAGTCTGAACCCCATCAGCAGGTTGGGGACGAGGGCCGTTTGAGGGGTCTGGTGGTAAGGGCAGCGGCAGAGGCCAGAGTCAGTGTCCCAAAGGCAGGCTGGGAGGGGATCGCAGGCTGGCACTTGACCAAATTTGACTCAAACATGAGGGAGGACTAGACCAGGAAGGGACTTGGGGGAGAGCGGCTGAGGGCTGACCCGCGCCCTGGCACCTCGCAGAGAGCAGGATGTGATGGCAAGAGAAGGGGCTGAGGCTGCCCAGCCCATTCAGATCTCCTGCCTTCAGCAGAGCAGAGGCAGAGAGGAGTGTGTGGCTGTGGGGAGGGAGCGTCAGCTGTAGCTTGGACTCCACTTCCAGCTGAGGAATGAGGGCCCCACCCTGCTGCCAAGAGGCGCTCGGGTCCACTGCTCTTGCTCTGGCTCTGCTTTACTGGAGGTCACCTCCTTCAAAAGCGCGAGTGACTGGAGGAAACGGAGGCCGGGATAACCACGCCTCCTTCCAGCCCCTGCGGTGACTTGCGCCATACCAGGTGCTTTCTAGAGGGGAACTTGGTAACCGTCTCCTGAGTTAAGCATGCAAAGCCTTCGAGCAGCCGGCAGTCCCACCTCCGGGGGCATGACCCCTAGAAATGACCTTCATTATGCCCATGGCGCTGGCTGCCAAGGGCAGGGGAGCAGAAGGAGGTCGTTACAGGAGACCCCGCTCTCACCGCTGCTCCCACGCGCTCGGATAAGTGTTCAAAATGTTTATTTACTATTGCACAATTCAACGGCGTAAAGCCGCCCCCGGTGCCCATGCAGAGGGCACGGTGACAGCAGTTACGACGCTCCATGCTACAGAACACGAGGCAAACAAGCAGGATGCCAGGCTGCTGACGCGCTGTCACAGGTGCCCATGCAGGAGCCGAGGGTGTTACCTCTGAGGTTGAAGGAACCTCTTTCTAACTTAGACACATAGAGTAGTAAGGAGGTAAAACCCAGTCCCTATTTTCATGTTTCCTGACCTCTGGGGAGAGGCTGGGGCAGCCCAGGGGTCCTGCCTGGAAGTGGCAGTGCCTCTAATTAACCCAGCCCCGCTGCCTTTCTCCAGGTGCACCCCGACATCGGCATCTCTTCCAAGGCCATGAGCATCATGAACTCATTTGTGAACGACGTGTTTGAGCAGCTGGCAGCCGAGGCGGCCCGGCTGGCCCAGTACTCGGGCCGAACCACCCTGACATCCCGCGAAGTCCAGACAGCCGTGCGCCTGCTGCTGCCTGGGGAGCTGGCCAAGCACGCCATGTCCGAGGGCACCAAGGCCCTCACCAAGTACACCAGCTCCCAGTGAGCCCGGCAGACATGAATAAACGGTGAACTGCTCCTGTGCGCTGCGTCCATTTGAGAAAAGGGAGCGTGTAGGCGCAGTGCAGTCTGGGGTCACGTCTGGGGGCAGCCAAAGCGGAACGTGGCGCTGTTGCACACTTTACACGCTGCTGTCCAGTGTCCCACGAGCGATGTGACAGTGCTGTGATAAGTGTTCAAACAGGTAGAGAGCCAGAGTGGGACTCAGGGTGTGGGTGAGAACCCCGGATCTGCCGCCTGCTGTCCCCCCGGGCTGGACATCCTCACGTGGGTGACTCTTCTGCCCTGGCTTTTTGCTGCCACTGCCCACAGACGAGCCCATTTGTCCCCTGTTGCCCTGTGTTGTGGGCTACACCCATCCGGCCACCAAGTCCAAACACAGCAGGCCCAGGCCTGCGGGGGTCTGGGAGATGTTGTTTCCCCTCGGGTTTTCTCCCCCTTCGTTTCAGAACAAATCGGTGGGCATATTTTTGAGACGCCTAATTTGTCTCCCTGGCTTTATTTTGAAAGATCTCCAAGCCCCAGAAAAGTTGCAAGGAATACAATGCCCTTCACCTCGACTTGCCACTCCACATTTGACCACAATTTGCTTTTCTCTCCTTCAGCCTCTGCCCTGTCAGTGGGCAGACAATCCATCTGTCCTCTTTCAAGCTCTGGAAGGGGTGTATGTGTGTGTGTTTGGGGATGAGGGGCAACTAGCACCAGCTCCCATATCTTCTGTCCCCTCTGGAGAGACACAGCTGCTCCCCTTTGACTCCACATACTGAAAAGCTGTACAGTGCCGTCCCAGCTGCTCCTGGATGCAGCCTAGAGACGTGGCTCGGGTGTATCTCCCGTCAGGCCCAACCTGGAGGTGCCAGGTGAGAACTATCTACGTTCAGCCCCAGCTGGGAAGGGGCGGGTGCAGGACCTGTGCGCTGAGCCCAACTCTTCCCTGGCTTCTGCTTTATTTATTTTTAAAAGATTTACTTATTTATGCTACAAGAACTGGGGTACAGGCCAGAGGTGCAAGAGGGGAGAGGATTCCCCAGAGACAGAGTGGGGAGCAGAACGGGTGGATCTCCTGAAATGCACTGCTGAGGGGAGCAGCGGGGAGACAGGAGAGGTCTGCTGTGTCATGTGGGTCGCTCCCTGGCCGGGGATAGAACTCGGGCTGCAGGGGCTGCGGGCAGCTTCACAGTGCTGTGTTTAGCCCCTTGAGCCACCAGGGAGGCCCAGTGGCTCCTGCTTTATTTCGGACCTTGAGTTACACTCGCGGTGTGACCGGCCACGGCACGAGTCGGACGTGGTTAGAAAGCTGACTCCAGCCCCGCCTCCCTCCACTGCGGAGCTGTCGGCTGCACTTGGCCTCTCTGGCTCGCTTTGTGCCCCTTTCCCCCCTTTCCTTTGCCCTGTGCTTGTAGGGGGAGGAGAGCTGCCTTTTTCTTTAAGAAAGACAAAAGCGCCCAGCACGCTCCGCTCCTTCCGCCCCCTCCACCTCTCCCCACCCCGCTTCCCCCATAACCTCAGCCATCAATGTCCACTCGTTTATTTTTATTTTTGCTTCATCAGTTCATCACTTGGTTTCCTTATATAGCTCACCTATGTGAGATCACCCAACATTTGTCTTTATCTTTCTGCTAACTTTGCACAATTGCCTCGAGGGGCTTCCCTTTTGCTGCAAATGGCACATTTTCGTCTTCGAGTTGAACCACATGGCGTTGAGCATGTGCTGTGCCTTCTTCACCCAAGCCCCAGTCAGGGGGCACCTAGGCCGCGCGCATCCTTCAGCTGCTGTAACGCTGCCCACCCCGCGCCTCGGAAGTCCCCACTTAGCGCTGAGCCAGATCGGCCACCAGGCTGACTGGAGCCAGGCTGCGGCTGTGTCTCTGAAGAAAGGCCCTGAGCCCGAGCAGGGCTGGGGTAACTGCTGCGGACTCGGGAAGAGCCCAGCACCACGGGCCCTACCTGCAGCCCTTTGCTGTGACTCCTCACGCTCTCCACACAAGATGACGTGCCCACCAGCCAAACCCAGGGAGTCAGGTGCCCTTTTCACCTCAAGTTGTGACTCCAGAGCTCCTGGCTGAGCCTTCTGACCCAACCCATGCCCTTTTCCCCTGGCCTGGCTGTCACCTCCAAGACAGTCAGCTCTGAGAGGAGGGCGAGGCTGGTCCTGCAGGGAGGGAAACAGGACTCCCCCGCTGAGGCGTGCAGCCAGACCCCCAGCCAGACCCCACAGCTGGCGGGGGCCTTCGCACAGAGACCCTTTCCACCTGACACCCACAAGACAAGGAGCCCTAGCTGACCAAGCTCCAGCCTGCGGGGCAGCTCTCCCTCCGCGTGCCACCCCCAGGTCACCTCATCCCGCAGGGCTGTCGCTCCCCTCCTGGCCTAGAACTTTGGGACAATGGACAGAATGCTTAAAACCAGGCCGTTCTGCCCCAATGGGGCCGGTGCCAGCCCAGCTCACAAAGAGCAGCGGGAGGCGTGGGCACCATGTCTGAGGGGTGAGTGGGGGCTGGAGTGAGTCCCCGGTGCCTCCCTGGGCCTTCAGTGGGAGAAGAGCTGGTGGGCTCAGGTGCCCCCCAGGGCCCCGGCCCACGACTACACAGCGACTCTCACCCGGCCTGTGGTGGGCCTGGCCCTTCCTGCGTCCCATGACCATTTGCTCCAGAAACAGGGCTCTGCTTTGGGGGAGGTTTCCTCACACACACCCCCTCCCTCCACTTCCCACCAGCCCTGCTGGATCAATGCAGCATCCCTGGGAAGGACCCTCACCCTGGGGGGCTCAAAAGGTCCCCTCCTGACCAGGAGTCCCTACCTAAGGCCCAGCCCATTGCTCCCCACAGTGGGGAGTGAATAAGTGACCCCCATCTCAAGCCTTATCCACAGGGCCCCTGCCCAGGCACCCTGTCAGCACCATCCCGTTCCCAAGAGGGCCCCCCACTTCATTGAGCTCCATTTTGGTGCCATTAGTGTCACATCTGGAATCTAGCGCCCCCGACCTCCGCCCCCACTGCTTGGAGGCGGGAGGCTCAGAGTGCCCATGGGGCGCACGTTGCCTCCCCCCAGGGCTTACCAGCGCCTGTGGGACTCCTCCCACGTGACCCTGCAAGGGCTGCTGGGCCAGGAGCCGCCCCTGCTCGAGGCCCTCCCGGACCGGGAGCGGCAGTCCTTCCAGTACAGGGTCTCCTCGCTCTACCTGCACTACCTGGGGCTGCTGCGCCGCTTCAACACCCTGTACGACCAGATCGTGCAGCCGCAGAAGAGGCGGCTGCTGCGGCGCCTGCTGGACGGCGTGGCGGGCCGCGTGCTGGAGCTCAAGGACGACCTGGTCCGCGCCGACCTGAGCGAGACGCACTGCCTGGACCGCGTGCTGCAGGACCTCACGCTCACGCCGGTGCGCCCGCGGGAGGGACGGCGGGCCCTGGGGAGCCGGAGCGCGGGCCCTCTGGACCTCGGGGTCCCCCTGGGTTGGGACCGTGCGAAGGAAGGAGGGTGGAGCACGCCAGGGACTGGGGTTGGGTTTCCTCGGGAGCTGAGCAGGAAGCAGGGCCGCCTGTTGGTCGGCTGGGGTGAACGGAGAGTCAGGATGGACCAGCACTGGAGGTCGGTAGGGAGAGGTCACCAGAAGGGGCTTCCTCCTCAAACCCTCCCCCACCCCCTCGCAGCAGCCGCATCACCCGGGAACCTGTTAGAAATGCAGAGTCCCGGTCCACAGTCCAGACCTTCTGGTGGTCTCTGGCTTTAGCAAGACCCGTTGGCGATCTGTTGGGTCTGGGAAGTTGGGATGGGAGCTTCAGCAGCAGCTCCAGGTTGCCCCGGGACCCTAACCCTAACCCGCTGCAGGCTGTATGGGGCTCTGTTGTGGGCTTGGGCAAAAAAAAACCAGAGTCTCCCAACCTCCCGACCTCGTCGCCTGGCAAGGGCCTTAAGCCTGTATTTTAAGAGCTTCCCACTGATTCTGAGGCACAGCCAGGCTTGGGGCACCGCCCTTTACCTGCCAAGTCCTCCAGAATTCACCTCTCCACACGGTGGGGCAAGAGAAGAGATCTTGGGGGGATCTGCCCCCCTAAGTCATGCATGCCCCGTCCTGGGACACTAGGATGGAGAAAGACAGGGCTGGTCTGCGTAAGAAGCTGAAATGACAATGCAGCTGCCAGACGGCTGGACTGATTCCTGACCTTCCCCCCCACATCACCCCAAAGGCAGACCTGGAGGTTCCAATTCCCAGATATTTCCTGCTGGAGCAGCCAAAAATTCTGAGGGAACGAAGGCTGATACTAGCAGAGATCCTGGCCAGAATGGAACCTGTGCTGTCCCAAGAGGTATGTGGGGGAGAGGCCCTCCCAGAACCCGTCTTCCAGAACCGAGAAGCCACCCTGCAGACACCCAGCCATGGGCCCACTTTGGTGCTTTGGGTGACCCCTGGCTGCCTTCAAGCAGGCTCCTGCGCCCCCAGCACCAAGATGGAAGTGTGCCCTGCGCGGGCCTCCCAGCTGCCTACCAGGAGGTGAGTCCTCCCTCATCTCCTGCTGCCCTGTCCCTGCTCTGCCAGAGCCACCCAGGGATGTCCCGGACCGAGGCCATAATCACACTGCAAAAGACCGAGCGAGCCAGGCAAGGCCGACTCCGCGCGGCCTTCATGCAGGAGATCCGCAGAGAGGAGGAGCGAGACCGGAGGGTGCTGGAGGAGGGACGCTTCAAGTTCAGTCAGGACTACGCAGCTATCATGATACAGAAGGTAACCCTTTGCACCAGGGGAGGTTATGGGAGAGTCACTGACTCCAGGAAGCCTGCCTGGGCCAGCAGTCAGTCACAGAGATGCAGGTGCTTTTGTTGTCTGGCCCCACATGGGGCACCTGAAATGGTCAATAAGCATGTGTCTCATTTACCTATTTATTCCCAAAAGCGTCTGAAGTGGGATGCCATAAAAACCCCAGAAACAGAAGGATCATTAATATGAAGGCAGAAAGATCCAGAATAAGGCAGTAGAATAGAGTAGACGATCATTCCAGAAACTCTCAACTGGG